TGGGCAATGCAATAAACAACCACAGAGAATCAAACACATTCTGGGATCTCTTTTTTTATGACCCAAACTAACTTCAAAATGAAATCTTCTCACTAAATGTATGCACTTTCCAGAGATTAAAGCAAGGAAGGAATTAAATAGGAAGTAATTTGAGTATGTTTTATAATCATAAAACAAAGATATAGCAACTTTAATACATTTCTATAATTACATTATTGCTTTGTTAATTTTAAATATTATTTAAATCCTTTTTGATTTGATGGCTTTCTGGATTATGATCAACAAATGCCGCAGTTAAAACTAGAAACTTAGATCTTCTTGCTAAAATTTATTATTATTTAACCTTAACTAAATACTTTCTACAAGTGATTAAATGACTAATTTTTATAATACTATTTATGCAAGTATAAAAAGCTTAAGAATTTTTCCATGTTACTTATTTTTAATATTTATCTGCGATCTTTCCCCTTCAAAGTTATTAATACATAAATGTTAATGGTAACATTAAGTCTCTTTCAGACATAGTTATTAAAAATCAAAACCGATTTAATCTTAATTCCTAAGATAACACCGCAATAAAATAAAATTTCCATAAATCACCAATAATCAACCCATTTCGATGTATTTTTTTTCCAGCAATTTGTAAAACAAGACATGAGGAGCCTTGTGTGCCATTTTTTCTGGTTAATTCAATAAATATTTATTTGCCATGAGTAAATATTATTATTATTGCTGTGTAAATTATCGAGCGATTAATGAAATTGCCGTAGGGGCAAGCGGCATATATCCTTGGCCACAGGTTCACAGCTGGTACCGCCGTCGACGAGCTAAGCAAACAAACTTGAACAAATAAATTTGGTACGTGCCAGCTATGACTTATCGCCATGGCCAGCAAACATGGCCAGCATACAAATGGAACGTTGAATGGCCGAAAACTACAATGCCAGCAATAATAACAATTGCGAAAAAGGAGTCCCCCCCCAACCGACAGGAGCAACAAGCATTTGTCATGTGACAATGGCTATATATATATATATATATATTCGCAAAAATCTACGAGCTCCGGCTACTCTCGTTTCATGGTCTTAACCACAGAGATAGCGAATCCAGTGGTCCGTTGGTTTCATTGGTTTCGTTCCTCGGATGCCATATTTTATTTATGGGCACAATTCCGTTGAACAAATTTGCCGCCTCGACACTTGGCCACACTTCTGGCCAAGTAATAGACCCATAACGGAGATACGTGTTTGCCAAATTTGCTTGTTTGCAGCTTAAATTTAATTTATAAACTAAACAAACAGGAAGCACATGGTTGGTGTTCCTCTAATCAATTCCAATGGATTTACAGTGGTCATTTAGTAAGGTGCTTTAGTGATGGAGGGCTAATAAATTGAAAACTGCCGAAAATATAGAAGATAATATTTGCAGAGAAGCGGACTCAAGACCACTTTTGATACAATCCGTTCATAAAATCAATCTATTAAATATGTAAAAAAGAAAAATACCCTTTTAGCTTCCCAATTTAGAGCACAACTCCCTATACTGTGTCCCTATATGTAGGCTCATCAGTGGCAATTGCAGAATCGTTAGCCCGACGACAGGTCCCCTAAAACCCATCTAACCCACAGAAAACCACCAACCCAACAATTCATTCTTTTTGCATTGTTATGCCGGGCACGTAGACCGGACTGGCCAAATGCTATGCAAACTTTTGAACAAATTAACAAATTTTCCCAAACACAGGGAAATAAAGTCCTATTTGCCTATGTCGCAGTTTGTTTATGCTCTATGGCCTTAGGTGTTCTAGGGAATGGAAAAAAAGAGTGAAAGGCTGGAGTAAGGATGTGGATGCTGTGGCATTCCTCCGACCGCAAATGCTGCAAACAATTGTGTTTTTCTTTAGTAAATAACTGGAAAAGTAGAACGGGATTTGACACTTTTTTTTAGCCACACAAATACACACACACACACACACAAACACACAAACAGGACATATACTTTGCGGCATGGAAATTTAATTGGCAAACGCCTGAAGGCGCTTGTCGCAGCTTGGAATACGAGTATTTGATTAAATTATGCATTTTTATTTGCTTGGGATTTGTTGCATATTAGATGATGACAGAAATGTTTTTACTAAATTCACCACAGTATTTATTTATGGCAGCTTTTCTCAAGGAAAAACTCCAAATAGCCAGAAATGCAAATGGCAAAATGACAAAATGAAAATCCATATTCTTATCCAAGTGCCAAGCAAAAAGGCAAAACAAAAATAATTATATTTTAAATTGGGGGGGAAATGTCCTTACACAAAGGAGTCCAAATCTTGCCGTGACTCGTTTTCCGGCTTTTCGAGATTCCATTCCAAGGATTGACAGCCAGCCGTGTCGCTTCATTTGTATGTTGATGACAAAATTTGCAATGCAATCTTAGGCATCGGCCTACTGGGAGGCCACCAATAAAAGTGGCTTACGTGCCACGGATTAAAGTTAAAGAACCAATTCCCATTTTGATATCTTTGACGTGGCAGTGGCACGAAGGTTGCATCTGAGTTGCAAAGCCAATAAATATGATAAAGACTGTTGGGTCACAAAAGAGTTTAAAGTAAAGTTTAAAAGATGGTTTTTCTACCTTCTTCGTATCGAAAAAAAGGAAGTTCTTACTTATAGTTATAGGAAATATACTTACTCAGATTTGAACCTCGTTTTTAGTTAGTAAGTTTGAAAGTTAAGAGGCCGAGAAAAATCAAAATAATTTAGCAGTATTTTATTTAGTTAGTTAATGCGGAAAAGAGCGACTTAAGTACTTTATCTTTTACTGAATAAATATTTATATTTTTTCAAAAAGTATGACCTACAAACTTTAACTCCCTCTAAAGGCTACTAAGAAACCCTAGACTAACCCTAGTTACTAACAACATAATAAGGTTAATCCAGCCTCTCATTTGCGACTCATTGTTGACATCGCCGACAGTGGAAAAAAAGGAAATTAGATGAAAAAACATAGAAAAGCCAAGAAGGAAAAAATAACCGGAAATCTCATTTGTCGTACGTGCATATTTAACTCGAAAGTAGATTCAGACTAGTAGTACATGGGCATTACTAACTTTAGTGACCGCCCAAGAGTATGCAATAAAATGCCATCCAACTGCCGTAAAGAGCTCGGCAGACACAAACGCAATTTCGATGTGCTTGTGTACTTGAAATAGATTTTTAATAGCCCAACTGACATACACAAATAAACAGAGAAGCATAGAGAGGAACGATGGCAACTCCTTTTCAATGGCATTGGAGTCCTGCTCCTGCTTTATGCCAGCCTTTTGTTTGGCAGTTGAAAGCATTTATGCGATTTTGTCGTTGGACCAAAACATGAAGATACTTATATATGTGTGTGTGTGTGTGTGTACACAATCCCCATACATATACAACTCACATTTGCCAGTGCAAATATAAGTTTATGAAAAATGTCATTTGTTTGGTCCAAAGATATGAACTATTTATGGACACAGAGAAATGAACAGCAAATTTGCTGTTGTCGAAACGAATTAATGTTTAGCTGGAAACAATTTTCCTTTGATGGTTGTCTCCCTTATTTTTCGGTGAAGATTGATAAAGTGCGTTTCGTGAAGAATGAGAGCTTAACATAAAATAAGAAAATTTTGAAAATGAAACTAAGATTTAAGGATGTTTCTAAGAGTAATTAACATAAAATCACGACATAACGAACTGCAGGGATCTATTTTATTAAGGTCAAATAAGCTAACGTCAAGCCTTTTGATTAATATTAACAGTGATGAAACGTACTGTCGTCGAGACTGATACACTTCGAAATGACCTAAGTAATTTGCTGGCCCAATATTTTGTGGTCCTATTGGCCATTTAACAGCCGAACAACGAGCTGGCGGTAATAAAGTGCCAAATAAATGCAATAAAGCTGTTGGAACAAGTCGTTCTCGAAATTGGTAGTGGCAGTGGAAGTGGGTGGAGAGGGGGTTGGAGCGAAGTAGTTGCCATAAATGTTCTCTCTTCCGGCTTTTATTACAAAACACACTCAAAAACGGCAAAAAAAATAAAAAGAACAAAAAAAAATGAAAGAAAAATGCAAATAAATAAACGCAGCGAACTGTCGAACAATTGAAAAGTTCCTACCACAATAGAGCTGGGACTTAAGTGCTTACTGAAGGAGCTGCAAACAGGAATAGTCCTTAAAGCGATTCCAAGGCTATGGCTGGGTGGTGGAGAGCTTCGTTTGCTTTTGGCACAACAGGATTACAGGCAAATTGCAAAACGTCTTTGCATGTCTTAAAGAAGCACACACACACACACTCTCACACACATACATACGAACTAATTTTATTGCTCAACACATTCGTGCCTTGTTTATTGCCCAGCTACTAGCCCCATCTCTTTTAAATGCTCTCTACCTTTCTCTCTCTCTCTTTCTCTCTTTCTTTGAAGAGCAGTTCTCCAATTTCGTGTGGATTTTAACAAGAAAATTGTTTAAGTGGCTGCTCTTGAGTTTCCCGATGAAGGCAATGAATGAGGTCTTCTTGCCAGGTTTTTTAAAGCTGCCTACTTACTTCACCTTCGGTGGTCAATTTTGCAGTCTTAAGGTTTTTTACACAGAGGAATAAATCAATCTACACTTTAAACTAAGAAGTTGACTTGGAATTTACGATATGTGTCAGAACTAGAATGCTACACGAAGTTATACTTTGAAATAGAATAAATATTTAACTTTAATTAAGGTAAAAATGTAAGGAATCTAATTATGATTATATAATAATTATTAAAAAATATGTAAAAATCCATAAAAACAAGATATGCTCTCAGTGAACAGCTAAATGCCTTAACCTTAAACTAAAGGTCAAAGTGTAATTTCCAATCGACTAGTCAACATCAAATAAAAACAGAGTAGGCTAGTCTATAGCTGACTGACTTTTCAGAGCCTGTAAAATCGAGAAAATTCAACGGCAGCTCAGTAGTAAGGTGTTTATCGTAATAATGCCAAACATTTTTCGCAGTTTTCTCTCGAATCGCTATGATGGCAAGCACGAACGCTTCTACAAACGTTATGAAGGTAAGATTTTCTTCTTATAAACCAAGAACAAAATATTAAGTTTCATAAAATATACAGCCTTATATCGAAGAATTCCAAATATGGCACCAATGCCAAGACCAAAAACATGTAACAACCCGAGGATAGTCCCAAAACTAGAGTCAAAAACAAAGTTTAACTATTATTATGGTAGTAGGGAGCCCACCAGCGATTGGCGTTTTGGCGATGCTATACCAATTGTGGCCAGAAGGGAGATGGAGGAGCGTCTGGGCGTTCAGCTAATGAGTCTCCAACCAATTTCAGAGAACTACCTGGTCAGTCACATAATCTGGGAACTTAAAATGCCCGAACAAAGCCTTGACTTGATACCAAAAACTAAAAAGGGTATCAAAGTAGGCATCATTACGGTTGTACCCGAACCTTCCAAGACTGGCTCGAAATTTCTAAGGAAAAGGCGAGTCTTGGCCAAAGTAACAGAGCCAAAAAATGCTATGGTCACGCCAATAGAACAGCAAAAAGAAACCGGCGGGAAAGAGACGTTTTAGGCGGCAGGGCGAGCAATTCAAATGTAGTGATTGTATTAGGAAGTTTGATCATTCTTGGATGCTGATTGCCCACATGAGAAGTCACACTGGAGAAAGACCCTTTGTGTGTCCGGAAAGGTCTTGCCAGAGGTCCTTTGCCGATCGGTGGGTAACTTTGATTGTAATTTTTACAATTTTTTTAATCTTTATAAATATCTAATATTTACAGCTCTAATCTACGCTCTCATCAGCGGACATTGGGCCACCACGAGTGGCAGCATCAGTGTGGACAGTGTGGCAAGTATTTCAGTCAAGTTTGCTACCTAAACCGCCACTCGTTGGATGCTTGCCGCAAATACCTGATGATCATTATGCATAAGAAATGGTAGCTTCTAAGTTATTTTCTTTTTAACAATGGTTACAAGAATAAAAGGTGTTGTATTTAAGAATAAAACTCATAATTGGCTAACTTGTTAAGTATAAAATTAACATTTTTTTAAGTTTAAACCTCCCAACATGTTAGGAGTTATGTAGATTCCATTCATCAATACTAAAGCTGCCATTTTCGTATGGCCTCATATCTACTTAACATTTCAAAGCAAGGCACCTCAGCCTTGATAGCGGCATTTGGCCCAAACGTATTGGCCAAGTTTCAAGTATCGCCGTCCAGACCAAATGCACACATACTCAAAAGCACAAACACACATACGCACACACACACACACACTTTAACATCGGATGCAATTGCGTTCAATGCAACTAAATTGGCTCATTAGCAAACAAAGTGCGGCAAGGCGTTGGATAGGTTGGGGAAAGGTGCTTTCCAGGACGAGTACCATTTTCTTTGGCCAGCCAAAAACATTTTCCCGAGGAGTGTCTACGCCGCCTCGTCGATTGGGCCAATCCTCAAAAGTTCCAAGTGCAAAAGTGCTCCGTTCGGCGACTAAATCAAACAATGCCAATAAAACTACACTGAGAACAAATTTGTTTCGGAAAAGTAAGAGAAAGTTATGTTAATTACCTTTACCTACTAATAATAAATAATTGTTTTAGTTTCATCACAGATCATAAAAAGTAATTTCAAAAGTATTAGAAATTTATCCATTTAACAAAATAATTTTTAACCAAAATAAACCTTCTAAAAATATTTTTCTTTTTTTTCGGTACACCTATCAAATAATGCCTTAAATAAATCATATTAATTAAAAAAATATTTTTAATACTTTTAACCAACATTTTTAGGCATAAAAAACGGCCTACATTCCCCTTCTTTTTCTTGCCTGCATCAAACTGTGAGTTTTGCCGCCGCCTAAATGCTGGGGTACATGCACACTTCTTCTGGGCAATTAATGATCCTGATAGAGGGGGGCACAGAGAGTGACAATTGTGAGAGGTGTGTGGCGGGTTGGTTTATCTCTTTAAGGATACGACTTCGATTGCGGTTAACCCTGGCCGCAGTGTAAATCCCACATTTGGCGGCAGCAGCTGCACGGCCAAGTGCCACGGTCGCAATGCAAACAGTTCGATGCGATTCGAAGGAAGGACGACGGCTAATGCCTTAATTTATGGTCGCCAGATAAACAGGATATGATTTAAGGACCCCCTACCCCTCAACCTTTCTCAATGTAAAACATGTGTCCACTAAAATCCAATTACTTAAAACGAATGTCGAACAATGGATGGAAAAGAACGAAATGAAATACGAAATGTATCGTTTTATTTAAATATTTGATGAGCTCCCGTCACCTAATAAAATTGTAAAACATGAGCATTTTATTGGGCAAAAGTCTTCCGAATTTCTTTCTTGGTCCTTGTATTTTTTTGTATCCTTCGCTCCTTGTTGCTGCTCCTCTGGGTAACTTGGCTAAAATAAAAAGAATGAAAGGGGTGGGCGGGAAGTTGAACTAAGTGAATTTTTACGCCACCATGAACGCAAGTCGCGTGCTGCAGCTGAAAAAAGAGATATAAGAAATGGGGGAAGGACTTAGAAGGACGTTTGGAATACCCTAGGAAGTGGATTATTTAAGCTGAATATGAGTTAAGAGAATTCTTTTTGGGATTTGACTTTATAGATTTTAAAAAGTTCATCACTCTAGGAAATAATTTAAAAATAATATTAAAAATATTTTATCATAAAACTTGGCTCCCTTACTCATTCTTTCTATTATGAATTCAATTTCTTTTAAAATTTAATTTTAATTTTTAATAAGTAAACTACAAAAATACCTTAATCTAGTGTACCAAGATAACCATCAGCAGCCACAGGATCCAAGGCTTTCCTTTGGCGAGTAGGAGAACGTATTTTTAAACTAATTTTCCAACTGGGAGCATTTCGATGGCATTTAACGTGCCAGCCATCAAGGAGATGGCAGGACACTGCTGCAAGAACCAAAGGAGCAGCCGAAGCTGGTCAGTTGAGCCGTAAATTATTTTAGCGTTTCAATTTGGCTAGAAGGGAGACACCAACAGCCGCACCACTACCAGTCATTGGCTGAATAGTTCCCATAATAAAGAATATATATATAATATATATCCATGCTTATTGCTTCAAAGTTAGCCAAATTGATGAGCAAATAAAGTTGACTAATTCAATACCATTTGCATTTTGCAATGACTCCGTTTTTTGGAAGAACTTTTGCTAAATAAGTTGCTGAGAAATTATTCTGATAACTCAGTTTAGTCTGCGTTTAAGCTAAGAGCTAAAAGAAATGTTAACGACTAAACAAATTAGAGAACGAAAATAAAGAAATCAATTTTGTTAGCTAAAATTTGTAATCAAATATTCTGAAAAATACAGATTGGCAGATTCTGAAATTCATTACAGTTTTTAAAAAGCTTTGATGGGCAAGCTGCCTGCAACAATGTAAACCATTTAATTGCTGAAAAAGGAATATAAACTTATCTTTGCCATCAACATCTCCAACCAATTTGCAAGACCAGCAAAATTCCAGATTTCTCTAGACATAAATTTACAGAACAGCACAAGAAGAGTTACATTTCGATTAAATATTTTTCTCAATTATCAATTACCAATTTCCCTAATCTCTTTAATTACTCAAATTATAATCTTTCCAAAGTTCACTTTAGACTTTTCGTTGACTTAATTTAGTTAATTTAATTTCCCCTATGACCTGAGACAACTTCGTTGCCGAGCTGCGAATGAAAATGTCATTTATTAGCGCATCTCGTCCCGCCACCGAGGGCCATCAAAACCGCTGCCGTGCAGCTCTAAATTTTCTTTGCAGGTCGTGAAAGGAGACGTCAGCGAAGATGCATAGCCAAGTTTTTTGGCTAAATTTATGGCCCGTCGTAAGCAACTAACAACCAACAACACCCGGATACTCTTAGCCAACTACAACTACACCCGCAGACATCACGTTCTTGGCTTAAACTGTACTTAAAGGTACTTCGGTACTTCCCAATGAACTCATCAAACATTTTATTACTCTAGGCCATGGGACACATAACACCCAACAGTTTTTTTTTTATGGAAGTGGATGGCGGATGGAGAAAAATAAAAATTCACTGCCATTCAGATACAGAATAAATGATTCATAACTGATTTTGTAAACAGCAAGAAAGGATACCACTGACTAGTTTTTTCACTTTAATAAATACATTTATTGTTTCCTTTTTTAAGATTAAAGAAATAATTTTATAAAATCCATAAAATCAGGTTATCTTTTCTAAGGCACAGCATTTGTTTGTGTTTAAAAGTTAAAAATATTCTTGTGGAAATATAGGCTAAAAATTCAAGTATAAGTAAAAAGTCTTTAAAAATAAATATTTACAAGAACATTATCTCTTTGGTTTATTTATTAAGTTTGTAACGTTTAACACACTTTTTAAATATTTTATTTTCCTAATAATTTCTCATTTTGTTATGCTTTATAAACAATTTTAATTTTTGGTCTGGAAGCTTACTTAAAGATTAAAAACAACAGCAAAAAATATAATTTCCGAATTGGTATATATAGAAAGCAAATTTAAATAAAAGATAAAAACATCAAAACAAAAAACTGAACAATGTTCATGTATTTTTTGCATATATCACTAAAATTTATCACCACAAACAAAAAAACTTTTGTTTTGTATTAAAAGTAAACTTGTAATTTCAATTTAAATGCCTTAAGTTAAGTTATGTTTTCTCTCTGTGCCTGTGATTCACATTTGTTTAACTCGAATCGATTCGCTTTGTCAATAGACTTGTACTTGTTCCACAGAGATATCTTCGGCTAAAGAAGGCGACAGCTCACGCCCCCGGGATCTGCGACACTCGCGGACATTCAAATACCAATAGTAAAAATATATGAATACCATTATTAAGAAAGCGGGTCCGCAAATAAAGTAGGACAAATGAATTTGACCGTCAGCCATCGTAGAGCACTGCCTAAAAATAAGTTAAGTTAGTTAAAAATTTCTCCTCCCTCGGGGTTTAAAAATTTAAAAAAAACATTTCAAGCCGATTAAATCAAAAAATTCGTTTTAAATTTTAAATAATTATAAATATTTATTGCCAGTACTAGACATCAACACACTCTTATAACTTTTAAGTATAATTTTCTTACAAAATCAATCAACTTTCAATAGTTTTCCGCACTACTTTGACTGTGAGTTAGTTTTGTGAGGGCGATTATTGAGTAGCCGGGAGTGATCGACAGCCGACTCAGAGGCAGATGCAAGAGAGCTTTCTGATCTTCGATACGAGCTCTTCGACGATCGCGAACACACTGATAGCAGTGATAACAGTAGCACACCAACACCATTGAAACCAATACACCGAACGGTATCAGCAGAAAGAGATTCAGTTCCATGCTCTTAAAATTTTCCAATAACTCTGAGATTTCCATCTTGCAAAACGACGCTCGAACAACGAGCTGAGAATTAAAACTAAACAAGGAACCGAAAATTATACATATTTTGCGCTCAAATGGGGAATTATTTTATACAAAATGCACAGAGAATAAAAGTTGTTATTATGTTTTATAAATTTATTATTTATTTGTTAAAATAACCATTACCATTTTTATTTTCCAATATAAGGATTTTATATTTTTTAAGTTATGTAAAGAATTATATACAATTTTTGCTATAAATAAATAGAAGTTTTTCTATATTATTATTATAAAAATGTTTAATTTTCATAAAAAAACATTTTTAAATGTTTTCGTTATATTCTTTTCTCTCTCTCTCTCTCTTTCTGTAATAAAAAATTTCTTCAGATATAATGCAGAGACCAAAGCCCGTATATTATTTATATACTTGACTTCTATTAACCAAACTTTTGTTTTCTTATCTGTTTAAATAAGTTATTATTATATTTAAGGCATTTAAAATATTAAAATGTAATAAAAATAATAGAAACTTTAATATTTATGTGTACTGCATTAATAAACCCCCCAAGTTTAAGATAAGCACAAACTTGAGTGAATCATGTAAGGCCGCTAAATAAATTCCCATCGCATTATTATTTTCTTTGTCTCATCCCACTGACGACGATCCCAGAGGTCTCCAGAATCTCGGGACTATATCCGACTATCCCAACGATAGACAAATATATATATATATATATATATATAGAGTAGATATATATATATTTAGAACTCCAAGTGGAACGCGGCGTCCAGACGCAACTCAATTCAAACTTTGAAATTGTGCGTTGTTGTTGACTGCGACTGAGACTGCGACTGCTGCTGCTCCTGACATTTGATGCTTTATGATGGAGTAAAAAGCAAAAACAACCAAAAAACAACAACTAGATATATGCCAAATCACAACAACACCTCGTATCCCACATTCCATACTCCGCCAGTCCTCCAGTCTGATGAGCAAAGTTTGCTTTTAATTTAAAATTTCGCCGCAGAAAAGTAGATGTATGTGCGATTTTTTGGGTTATTTTTTTTTTTTTGATAAAAAGTTGATAAAAATGATGTTTAAAGAAGGCGCTGATAAAAGAAAAACCTTTCGTTAATTATGTTTGCCTTTGTTGAATTTATAAAAAATATACATTTACTAATAAATACAAGAAGAAATTTAGGAAATATTCTTAAAGTTGAGGTTAATCTTTGATAAAAACTTAAATTTATTCAAATCTATACACAAAATAAAAAACCCAATTAAAGAAATAACTTTCCTTCTGCCCTAGTTTATATATTTTTCTTGTAGCCCAAAATAACTTTAAGGTGCCGCAAAATATTTTCAACTGAATTGAACTGCATTTTTTGTAGGATAAAAAAAGGACACAAGTTCCGAGTTCATGAATTGAAAATCCTTTTGTATTGCTTAAAATTCTTTCGATGAAATAAAATTGTTTTTGGCCAACTATGTTTGAGGTTCAAAATGGTTGGTGGTAGGAGGTGGTAGGGGGGAGTAAGTTTTGAAAGCGTAACAACAACTCACTGGCACACACACACACAACACGAAAATATATACACAACGCACACGGAATGGATATTTCTCATTCAATTTCGCAGGTGTTTGACTCCATGTCGGAGGTGTTTTTGTATCGAAAGGAATGGGAAAGCCTTTGTCGATTCGAGGAGTACGTGGTTTGGTTTTGGTTTCGGTTTCTAGTTAGTTTTCGTTTCGTTTCGGTTGGCATTTAAGCGGATTTTCAAATGCATCCCAAAATGTGCAAATGGACCAGATACTTTGTGGATCCAAGCTTATAACTCAGGGACATCCGCTAGGATTTTGATAATGATAATGATAGTAATGTGACTGAAATGATAAAAATATTATGATAAAGGTTGAAATTTAAACAAAAATTTACTAGAAAGTTGTATAAATTGAAAATAAAGGAACATAAAAAGGAGAACTTATTACAAATCTTGAATTAAAGTGAAAAACACTTAAAAATCCAACTTAAAATGCTGCAATGCCCACCATCCTTAAAGAAAATCTAGTAATATTTAATTCGTGTAATTTCAGGCCCGCATTTAGTATTACAACCGCTGTTTGTTTGCTTTTTGCCGTATACTTGCAACACCTAACCCAACCCGACAAAAACCAACATTTTCCACCACAAACCCACTTTTATCGTATGCGAACGTGTTGCATACTTTGTGGCTGCAGCTGCTGTTTGTTTGCCTTTTGCTTTCAGCATTTTATGATACTCGCGATAATGATGGTTGGCCACAGACACATTAACCCCCAACCGCACATCCAAGCCACCCAGCCACCCACTTATTTACACCTTTCACGTGTAATTAGATGCGCAAGTTAAGTTCGGGCGTGTGAAATTAATTAAAACTTTCGCTGCTTAAAGTTTCCAACCCCAAAAAGAAAGTAACGATCAACTTGAAGCTCCTCTCATATGGAGAGTTTGTGGGGAATCCCCGCCAACAAATTGCCGCTAGTCAATGTCGAGCCACAAGAAGTCAAGTGCAAAAGTGGCAAGTCCATAAGTTTCCAGTTGCAAGTTACTGATTGTAACTTACAGCATAAATCAGAAATAGTTTAGCCCCCTGTCTGCCCCCATTTGTCCATTTTGTCTGTCTAGCGATTGTCTATCATCGAAGGCCATCAGCAGACAAGCGACGAGTTTGGTTTCAGCATTCCACATCCCATTTGCCACATCCCATATGCCACATTCCACTTACTAGTATTCTTCCCCATTGGATTGCTTTTACCCTTTTTGGGGGGTGTTATAATTTTTGATAGTAATAGGAATTATTTTACTAGAATTAGGAAATCTGACCCTCATTTTCAATGCTATTTAACATTAGAAAAAATGTCTCAATGTTTTATATTTCATCTTTTATCAAGAAAGGAATTGGTTTTCCAAAAGGGTATTTGCCACTTTGGCTTTCTTAACATAACTTCAAATATTTGTTATTCTTTTTGACCAAGTTCCCTTCGGCATTTTCCACAGTTTTTGTTTGGCTATTGCTGACGCTGTTTGTTTTCTTCGCTGTGGCCCAACATGCTGCATATTTATGGCATGCCGCAAACGTTTATCTAAACTACATAAAGCAATAAAAGTTAAAAGTCAAATAACTGTGTAGTACGGTTCCTTGAAGTTAGCCTTGTTGCTGCTCCTTCGTTTGTTATTGTTTTTGTTATTGTGGCAGGGTGGCAGGGTGTTGTGGCAACAACTGCTGAAAACAGATGCTATTGAGTGAGTCTGCAGAAGCTATGAACCCATGCCGAAAGGATGCATCCTTGTGGCCGGATCCGCCCTTTGGGAAGCTAAAACAACCGACCGTGATGAGACTCGTTATGGTTTCGGTTTCGTTGGAGAGCAAACCACCTTTAGGAAGTGTGAGATCTAAATTATCCACAGAATGAGGGATTAGGAGATAAAGGATAAAGGAGATAACAGATACTCTTCTCACTTCGATTGGTAGCAATTAGAATCTTAAGGTCTACCAAAGTAGTTATAAGCCAATGAAAACGGAACAAACGGGGTTATGAAATCTTGTTTGTACTTAAGGTTATTAGTAAATGTTTAACATTAGAAAATATTTTTACGTGTAAAGCTCTTTACTTTGACTTAATAGCTGAATATCTTCTTCCAAATAATATCCATTTCCCACCTGAAGCGAATTTCCCCAGTCGATCTTTACCTTTGGCGCTAACAATCCAAGGTTTCATGTATCTGTTTACACTTACAAGCTGTCGGATCGAACTGCAGATAACTATGAACTCGACTCGGCAATGGGAAAACAGAAAAGTTGGGTGAGGAAAAGTGGTTGCCACGCTGGAGGTCGAACAATACACGAACGTCATGCACGTGCATGGCTCTTGTCCTTTGGTCCTCCCAGTTCTCCCTGTCCTCCATGTCCCTGCTCCTATTCCTGGCGTATCCTTTTAATCCTTTTGCCAATGCATCGCATTGCCTTGCATCGAGTTTGATTTCACACGCGAGCACAAAAACAATAATATTATGCCACAAACACTCGATGCCAACGAACATGGCCCATGTAATCACACTTGAGCTCCTTGCCCAGCCACACAAACACACCAATACACACTTGAAGTGGAAAACTCAGTGGCACCCACACACACAGACAGACGCTGGGAAAACTCTCTCTTACTCACACCCACACACGATGGCAGCGAGATTGCAAAACTTCATTATATGCCCGTTGGCAGACAGGAGCAAAGCAGAAACCTATATACACTGGCAGAAAATCAAAATCTGTTTGGGCTTATAATCAATTAGTGGTATTTTTTCTTAGAGTTCTGAGCCGAATTTATAAGGCAGCAAAGTCAAATGATGTCCTCAGTTCCTCCCAATTTCTTTCAGTGTTTGATCAGGAGTAGCTGATGTACTCCTCCTTCTCCGTTCACCTAGAAACGGCCAGTTCTTTTCATTTCTATTTCTGTGCCTGTTTCTGTTGCTGTTTCTGTTTGGCTTTGTTCTCGACGCTCTGCGTTGTTGTTGCAGCCACTGCTGCTGCTGCTGCTTCTGCTACTGCAGCCTTTCGCCTTTGGCCCGAATGGCATTGAGCTTGAAAATGTGTTTATTTGCCGGCACACACACACACATTCAGGCAGCAAGTGCCTGCCATAAAATCGCTGAATCCATCCACGACGACGCAAACAAGCTGCCATATGTCGGCGGGTGGTTGGGGGTGGATAGGGGGAATCTTACCGCCTTGTAGGTGCCACACGGGGTACCCATACACTCACCCACCCATCGACATTTGGAATCAGCATCATCATTCCCGTCTCGGGGCAATTGTTGTGCATGTTTTTGTTATCTGCCGGCTGGTTGGCTGTAAGGAATGCTAATGCCACTGCCACTGCTATTGCTACTACCAATTCCAATACCAATGAGACTGCCATAAGTGCACCTCAGGTGTTGGCCAACTTGGAAGTCCTTTTTGGGTCTGCTTGGCTTAAGTTACACCCA